ATTTTATTTATTTGAGAAACCAGTTTGAAAATAATATTTTTGCAGTTCCATTTTGTGACACTAGGGGCAAAGAAATTACACCTTTAACAAATATGCACCATACATATTCAGTAGCTTTGAGCAGTGGTTCTTAATCCTGGTCCTAGGGACCCCTTGCTCTGCACATTTTGCATGTCTCCCTTATTTCACACATCTGATTCAGATCACCAGCTCATTAGGAGAGAGCTCCATGATTTGAACTGTGCGTGTCAGTTAAGGGAGACATAGAAAACCACTGGCTTTGAGTAATAAACATCTACCCTGCAACCATTACCCTGCATCTAACCCCATAATTCTCTATTACAGGTAATGCAGTTTGGCAGAATCGATGGCAATGCATATATCCTGGATTTTCAGTATCCATTCTCAGCAGTACAGGCATTTGCTGTGGCCTTGGCCAATGTAACTCAGAGACTTAAATAAAAAACCTCTCCAGCAATCTTGTCCTTGAGAACAGATGGACTGAAAAAAGAGTTTATTGTTAATTGCAGATTGTGAGAAATATTACATTCTCTGCTGCCATAACGTCTGTACAATGCCGGTTAGTAGGCGAGAGATCTGGTCACTCTCAGGCAGAGCGTACACAAGACGTAGACAGGTGGTCCGAAAATAGATGTAGTGCTTTAAAGTACCTTTTTGTTAACAAAGGTACAAGCTGATTTAAGGTTCCACCTAAAAGGTGGTTGGTATACATCTGAAAAAAGTTAATATTTGTGTATTGATGGAATATTGTTTTATTTATTAATTCACTTTCATTGATTTTTTTCCATGTATTTCATTAACATATAATGGTGTGATTTAAATATAAAGATAATTACTAAAGGTGAATCTTAGACTGTGGGCTTTGTTTCTTTTTTTCCCCCTCTGAATACCCCACCTCCTTTTATGTTTGTACCAGAGATTTATGTGCCAAATTTGGATTTCCTATGTATAATCATTGTAAAGTGACAGATTTTGACTATTGTCTGTGGTCAGTAACCAATGAAAATCTAGAGAGGAAAAAACAAGTTATGTTTGAATGTTCTCATCCCGTGACTCACTTCCATGAAGTGAAACAGAGGTAATATATTCAAGTTATTATCATATTTTCCCAATTGTGCCACTATAATGAATGCATTTTTAAGGTTTGAAAATCAATTTAAACTTTAAATTGAACTTTTTCTTCACAAAATGTCTTATGTTATATTGCATCATTTGCACACTGTTATTGCAGTATCTCAGTAATGTCCTTTTTGAATGAATATTTGCTTTTTAATGTTAACAGTAACAGAAATCAAAGTTTGAACATTTTTAATTACTTTCAAATATATATTATATTGTCATTGTCATGGAAGTGACATGACAGAAAAGTGCTGTAGTTAGATGTATTCATATTGTCCATGACACTTTAGCACGAACTATATAGTATGCATTCATTTAGCCAAAAATGTCTAATACCACTATATGAATCAAACTTAACACACTGTATATTATGCAATGAATGGAATCTAAATGAAATCGAAAGTTGATATGTAGGAGTTTTTCTCATTCCTAAGTTTAAATAGTCAACCCAATTTTGATTTATGTAAAGGGACATCTTTTATTATATTTAATAATTGGTTTCAAATATTTATGTATTAATATTCTGCATTAATATTTAACAGTTCTTATGGCAAATCAGCTAATTGATTTGCTTGTTGTTGCTCAGTTTCTGATGTTTTCCAGTAATTTCATCAGTTTTTATCACATTTTTGCTGTAAGCCATACAGTGGTTCAGAGTGGGGTAGTGTTGATATGGTTGATGTTTTAAGCACTTCTTGATTATTCTTGATGTCGTATGCTTTGATGATTTGCAGTTGCAGTTATTTCTAGCCACTTTATACTGGGATATTCAGGTCCAGATTAAAATATGTGGAATGTGAGGCTTTAACTGTGCTTTATTGCTTAATTATTCTAATGTACATTTACAAAATGTAATTCAAGGGTGTCAAGGAAAAGCATTAGAATGTGTGTGCAGAGTAGGCTTAAAGTCACTAAATAAAATCAAACTAGATTGATGACATTTGTGTCGATTATTGTCATTATGAAGGTATTCACATTGATGGATTGTTTTTGGACATATTAGTATTTAATTCACACCTGCCTCAGCTTTGATTAGCTACCAACCAATTCAAAGATTACTGGGTGTTTGTTATTTTTTTATGTGTTTTTTTTCTCCTTTAGTGTCTTGGGATCTCCACCTATAAAAGCAAAGTCAACACAACCACTGAGAAAATCACAGATTTGAAAAGCAATGCAACTATTTGGTTACTACACTGACCTCGAGATGGCGCACGTATGTTAGCATTGTGCTTCCGTAGTCTATGTCGGAATCTTGAGTTTGATTCATGTTAGCGAATCGGTTCGTTCACACAGTACGTATCAATGAGCCTGTTAATCAAACCGACTCACAATCTTTTTTTTCTGGATTTAATTTGTAATTCAATTTATTATTTTATGATTAAAATGCTGTTCTCTCAGGCTAATAAAATTGCATTAAATGTTGTGTTTATTGTTCAAACATTGTTCACACTGGAAATTCCTGACTGAACAGTGTAGTACGGTGGCCGAGAAGTGCAAAGCAAATCACAATTCTGAAAACAAAATAACAAATTACAAACGCAAATACAAGTCTAAAAAACAAAATAACAATTCAGAAAGCACAACAACAATTCAGAAAACATTATAACAAGTCAGAAAACACAACGACAAATCAGACAAACCGGAAAAGGTAGGTATAGTTTGAGACTTGGTTTTTGACGCGATCGACCCGGGTTCGATCCCGCCTTTTGCCGAACTTTTTTTTCAGAAAACACAATGACAAATTTGAAAACAAAATAACATTAATAACAAACCAATGATTAATCCCAAACCAATGGCGCTGTCTCAAACTATACCTACCTCTTCCGGTTTGTCTGATTTGTCATTGTGTTTTCTGACTTGTTATAATGTTTTCTGAATTGTTGTTGTGCTTTCTGAATTGTTATTTTGTTTTTTTAGACTTGCATTTGCGTTTGTAATTTGTTATTTTGTTTTCAGAATTGTGATTTGCTTTGCACTTCTCGGCCACCGTAGTTTTGTAATGTTTCCAATATTAAGAAAATTGTCAATAGTTTCCAATATTGTTCTTAGTTTTGTTCATAAACACAGATGAGTGATCCTCGCTTTGCGAATCGGTTCGACCGAACCATTGAAAAGATTCAGTTGAAAATAATGATTCTTTTGAGAATCGTCGACCATTCACTGTTTAGTTTCCCAGCTGACAGGTTAAGCACGCGGTGAAAGATCTCAGAGACTTGACAATGGATATCGATGAAGATATAGGTACGTATGTACATACATTTAAATGATTGATTGTTGTTGGGTGATCAGCATTTAGAAACGTTTTGAATGAACGCTTTAATGAGTTTTGAACTTTTAGCGCGTTTGACAATGACAACAAATTATTCTCGAGCATTCATTTTACAGTGTTTCTTTACTAATCAAGAATTGCATGTGAACGTTGTATAGGTGATTCTTCACCAGCAGAGACTCCAGCCACTAAAATGTCCAGACACCAGATATTAACACTTATTGCAATGGCCTCCATAAACTTCAGTTCAATGATCTGTTACTCCATTCTGGGACCATTTTTTCCAAATGAGGTACATTGATGATATTTCATAGAATTTGACTTGCATCCCTGTTGAAAAAAACCAGCATATGCTGGTTAGGTATGTTTTAAACCAGCATCCCAGCGTCAAAACATACCTAACCAGTGTATGCTGGTTTTTTCAACAGGGATAGTCAACAATATGAAATGTAACATAGTTTGTTCTAAGTACTCTGTTTAAGGCATTTAAAGTTTCTTACAGTAGGATAAAATAATGTATTACTTTTGATCTGATTCATTTTCTAGGCAAAGAAGAAAGGTGTCAGTCAAGCTATGATTGGCTTAATATTCGGAATCTATGCATTATGTACTTTAGTGGGCTCATTGTTACTTGGTAAATATGTAAGTTAATCATTATTTCAGAAGATAAACAACAGCTTTCCATTATGGATTGCACACTATATCAGTGCACTTGTCCTCTGTTTCAGATTGTCCAGATAGGAGCCAAGTTTATGATCGTTGCAGGGTTGTTCGTATCGAGCGTATGTACTGTACTCTTCGGGTCAGTAAATCTGTGATGTTTTGTTGTGTGTTAAACATCTATATGAGTATTTAGCATCTTTTAGGCCATGACTATTAACTTTCAGGTCATTTACATGCTAGATTATGCCTAAATGTTGATAAAATTACCTTTCTAGTCTGGAAAAATAGAGGAAAACTCATGTAACACTCATTTTTAGTATTTCATCATTAATGATATCATTTCTTCTGCAGATTTCTTGACCAAGTGTCTGATGGGACAGTTTTCGTCGTGCTCTGTTTTATCACACGGTGCATAAATGCAATCGGCTTTTCCGCCGCCGTTACATCGTCTTTTGCAGTTTCAGCAAAAGTTTTCCCCGAGAACATAGCGACTGTTTTGGTGCGTTGTGGTCAGTGCTTGTTTTTCAGTGCAGTAATGGTGTTTTGGAGTAAAGTGACAAAAGAAGCACTATTGCACGTCACAAAAGATGTGCTGTTTCTCTATAGATTCAGTTATTCAGTCTGACTGGTTGTTTGGTGTCTCACGGTCAAGGCATACACAATGATGGAACCATTCTTGTGGTTTTAATATTTACACAAGTGTGCTAAAATGTTAAATGTGTCTCTACAGTAAAGCAGAAGCTGTAATCAGTGCTATCTTGTTCTCTCAGGGCTTCATGGAGATTTTTACAGGTCTTGGCCTGATATTGGGGCCTCCGTTGGGCAGCTGGCTCTATCAGTCATTTGGATATGAAATCCCATTCGTTTTCACAGGATGTCTTCTGTTTGCGACAGTGCCTCTCAATATGTGGATTTTACCAAGCTTTGGTTTGTGCAGACTTCATACTGGTTAAATATGACATGTTTTTAATAATTCAATTTAAGACTATTCCATGTAGCATACTCCTGGTTAAGTTGTCACAAGGATGCTTTTGTTATTGTTTGCCCTCCAGCCATGGAGATAGACGTGTCTGTTTATTTCATTCCAATATAGCTGCTGTTCCTTCTTCCCAGAATTCCTTCCTCAGATTGTGTACCAGAATGAAGATCCTTCTCATCTGCTTCGTGGTGTTCTCGTTGAGTTCAGGACTTGGTTTCCTGGATGCAACACTGTCCATATTTGCCATAGAAAAGGTTATGAAGATTTAGAACACTGAAACTGAATATATAATACACTGAAAAATGTATATATAATATGTATAAATATATATAATATATAAAAAATATAATATATATCATTCCAAAATGCTGTTGTAAATGTTAATCTAAAGGTTCTCATATATTATAATAATAGAAAACATCTTTGTGCATATTTTTTTGCGACCAGCTTAATCTCAGTGCCGGTTCAGTGGGGCTGCTCATGATTGGACTGTCACTGCCGTATGGGGCGGCATCACCTGTCTTTGGTGTGATCAGTGATAAATATCCTGTAAGTCAATGTTTAAACAATTAACATTTTTACAGTGATGATTGAAAATTCTAATAGAACAAAAGTTTGAAATGTTTGAAATTCATAATGACTTTTGATGCTTTATGTATTTATTTATTTTAATTGCATTCATACGTTTAAGATGTTTAGTTTTTAAT